AACTCAGCATCGAGGGACCCATTTATCTAATCAATGCATGAAATGCTCATTTCATGAGTGCAAGGACTAAACTAGTTTTCAAAGCGAGGTCCCTGACCAACAGCGACTGCATCCCCGGGAACTTGGTAGAAATGCAAATTGCCAGACCAGTCCTAATGGCTCAGAAACCTTGAGGAGAGGCCCAGCAATTGGACTTTGACCACACCCAAACTTTCAGATTAGCTAATCTTTGAGAACCCCAGCTGCAGGGCATGGTCCTACGGGGCTCTGCTTGATGTACCAGGATGAGCACGCAGTCCCTGAGAGGGAGCCCAGGGTCATGCGGGCACGATGGCAGGGAGAGGGCTGTAGGAATGCGTCGAGGTTGCAGCGTCAGAATGAAGGCAGGCTTTGCAGTTTAGCCAGAAGTATGTCCTAGAGAGGGGTGATGCGTCATCTGGCCCAGCTTGACGGAAATGGGACGTGCCCTCCCTGACTTCCCTGTCCCAGCCATGTGGTCCCCAAGAGCTTGCTCACTTCCTTGAGTCCCGAGCACCTCTGCATTTGGGGCAGGGGTGCAGGCACAGGCTGACCATCACTCTGCCGAGCTCTCGGCGAGGATTAAAAAAAATAAGAAGAAGAAGAAAAAGAAAAATGCACAGGAAAAAGGAGCAGCTTTTTCTTATCAAAGCCGCAGACTCCTGCCAAAATGCTTCGTGATGTCTATACACATTTGGACAGTCATAGTGTTGTTGTTGTTGTTGTTTTTTTAAAGAAAGATGTAGGAAAAAATTATGTACTTTTAAACTTAAAAATAGAGATCACCACAAATACCAATAAATTGTACCCCTATATTCTGAGCACTTAAGAGACATTTTGGGGAACAACAGATTGAAGAGTCTGGAGGGGAAAAGGATATTGAGGAGAAATTCGGAGAGAAAGCCCCAGAGATCCGCCTCATGACCCACTCAACCCTACCAACGTGGTTTTGAGTGGTCAATTCCTCTTTATTACTTGGAATCAGAGAGAGAGAAAGCCTTCAAAGGTTGGTTATTTTTGTCGTATTCAGGCTTCCTTAAAATACCACTGGGGGCTTTCACAACAGACATGGTTTCTTACAGCTCTGGAGGCTGTAAGTCCAAGGTCGAGGTGCCAGTGGGTAGATTTCCTTCCGGGGTGTCTTCCTGGCTCATAGGCAGCCGCCATCATTCCATGTGCTCATGTGACCCCTTTTCTTTGGGTGCACAGAACAAGATCTCTGGGTCTCTTCTTGTAAGGACACTAATCCCATCCTATCAGTGCCCTTGTGACTCATGTAACCATAATTACTTCCTTAGAAGCCCCATCTCCAGATACAGTCAACGGGGGGTTAGGTTCTTAGCAGGGATGGTCTAGTCAACTTCCTTAATACACCTGATTCTTCTTTGACGTTCTAGAGGGTGTCTAGTTGCCTTGTTTTCTTTCATTGTAAGATTGGGGGAATTTGATGGTATAGTGTCTCAAGGATGTTATTTCAAGCGTGTGAGCTATGTTGGTATTTGCTGGAGGGGGGTGGTTTAGCCACGTACAGACAGGGAATGCTCTGCTCTTAGCCAGGTAAAACATCTCACCACGCAGACTCCCCACACAGAAAAGACTGGAACAAATGAACTCACGTATTTCGCAAACACATCACACTTACCCCATGCCTGGCACTATGCTCTCTGCCTTTCAAGTGTTCATTCATTTAAGTCTCTAGCAGGTGGACACTGTCTGTATACCCTCACCAATAAGGAAACTGAGGCATGGGAGGCAGGTCTGAGAAGCGGGGGCGGGGGTGGTGCTTGGACTCTGTCCCAGGAAGTTCCCCTCAGGGGCCTTCACTGAACCACCCTGCCACCATGGGAACCTCAGCAGAGCTGGTGTGTGCAGACCTGCAGATCTGAGGCACGTGCCACTTCTTTCACGGGCAGGTGCGAGGTGAGGAGCGGTCAGGCGCAGGAGGGGATGAGAGTGTGGGTCCGTAGCAGGCAACGTCTTCCACTCTCTGGAAAGTTCTTTCCTGTGGCCTGTGGGCATAGGGACCCACTGACACCCTGTGGAGGGTGCACGTTGACACCCAGTTAGAGATGCTGCTGACCTCTACCATCCGTACAGGTGGCACCTCTCTCCATTTTGGGGCACTGCCATTGTGCTTTGCCTTTCCTCTCTCTTTGTGGGTAAATTTTTCCAGGGGCATCAAAGAAGCTTTGGAAGAACTGGCGTACTCCTGGGAATACGGCATTTTAAATGCCAGCCAAGAAAGCAGATTAACTGGGGTGGGCCAGCCCACCTCCCACCCTCTTTTCAGAGGCTATAAGGCCAGCCCCGCCTCCCACCTCATTTTCCATGGGCGTGATCCTTAAAAGCCTATAGTGGAAAAGTAGTAAATCCGGTGGTGGTTTAAATGAGCCTGGGGCAGGGTCACACAAAGTGGCCGACCCTGCAGGAAGTGTTGGAAGATGAGCTCATGCTTTTGGACCCAGGTCCTCGTGTTTGGACTGGTGGGTATCCAGCTTCTCAAGTGCAGCCCAAGTTCGGTCCTGTCAGGATGCAGCCCCCCTCTGGGAGTCCCAGATGCAGGTGGCCCGAAGGGGAACAAGACAACTGCCAAAACCTGAGCTCCCCTCAGCCCCAAACTTCCTTACTTCCCTGTGAGAACCCCTCTGTCCTGGCTGGAGTTCCTGCCACTGGGAAAGGATGATGTCCGATTTGCTTGTCTAAGTTGAATGTGTAATGGCCTCTGAGTTCTTCATACACTTTAAGCACATATCATGGCCGGGCCGGGCATCTGGTGTTGGGTTTTATGATCATGCTCTTATGGGGTTTTATTTTGTTACTGGTTTTTTTTTTTTTTCTTTAATAGTAAATTTGAGGAGATAGTCCCCCAGCACATAGAATCATCTGCTTGGGAACTTCGCCTTGTGCCTCCCCTCCCGCCTCCCCACCCCAAACATTTTGTTCAGAAACTACTTCCACTTCGAACTGCTGCGACTGTCACTGGAAGAAACTCATCATGCATTAAATGAAGTAGAGAAAGCCAGAAAGGATCAGGCGAGTTGGGGGGAAATCCACCAGACACACAGAGATTTGGGTACCCCATTATTTGGGCCAGAAAATGGGTACCTCAGTATGCTGGCACATTCAATAACTACTGGCTTCCATGATGGTGAGCCAGGGTTGTTCTCCATGATGGAGAAACTTGCGCCCTCCCCTGGAGCTGGCCCCTCTCTTTCCGAGCCTCTAATTTGATGTTTCAAATGTGTTACCAATTAGTGTATTAAATGAACAGAAAGTAACATGAGTAGCTTTTGTGTTCTTTGTGGTTTCCTGTCTAAGAGTAACTCAAATACCCATTTGACAGTTTATTTGAGTGTGTTTACCCAGTGCAAACCGAGCCTCAGATGCACCAGGGTCCCAAGCCTGCTCTGCCTTTTCTCAGAGACCTCGCCTCTCAGACTAGGTGGCACAGAAGGGAGGCACATGAGCGGCTTCATGGATACACACGGAGCGGTAACCAATAGTAGAAGTCATCTTAGCATTGTTAGAAGTCTGTTTTCTCTACTGAGGCTCCTCAGAGGAATGTCCTCACATCTTAGAGCTTGTGTGTTGCATTGCATTAAGCTTGTGGTTGGGATAAAGATGATTTCTGTCCCCACCCCACCCCACCCCGAGTTGAGGGATTCAAAGTGTACAGGCTTCCCAGTGTTATTAGCCGGTATGGCCATGTGTGCTGGAGCCCTTGAGAGCGTGTGCACTGCCTTGGTCCCCACAAATGCCCCATCAGAGTCCCCAGACCCCGCAGAAGTGCTGAGTTGTTTTCTATCAATCTGAGATTAATTTCGAATTGTAGCAGTTGAATGAGAGGTAGGGTACTTTGGGGACTCTCTCTGGCTTGGGTCTCTGACTGTGCTTCTCCTGTCCGGAGCCACTACCCCCAGCAGCCCACAGCCCTCGGGGTGAGTGACAGGTACCCAGGCTGCAGCAGGACAGTTGTCACTTGTGTGTTCACAGAAGAACTGCGAGTCCGTGATCTGCACACCTGCATCCCCAGGCACCTGGAAAGCATAATTATGACCTGAAATAGTTGTCATTTCAGTTCCTGTTTAAGAAATAGATCACAGGAAAGACCTATGCTTTTGTGAGAGGTGTAGGCTCCACTGCTTGGGAAATTTAGGGAAAGAGAGATCAGCTTTAAATATAAAAACCTTCTGCCAGGGAGATATAAAAGAGGCAAAAGATATTCTTCAGAGTGATCTGAATTGTTATGCTCCTCCCTCGGTAAGCAATTCTCTGTGACGGGGAGCATGAGGACAAGTTTTGACACCCAAGCAAGGTCATTTTCCTCGGGTTTTGTTTTTTTGTTTGGGGGTTTTTGTCTTTAAAAAGGCATACTTTTTTTTAGCTATCGTCTTCAACTTAAAATTTTCAGTCTGGGGACACCTGGGTGGCTTAGTTGGCTGAGCGACCGACTCTTGGTTTTAGCTCAGGTCGTGATCTCAGAGTCGTGAGATCAAGCCCCAAGTTGGCCTCTGTGCTTAACATGGAGTCTCCTTGGGACTCCCTCTCCCCCATCCCTCTCCCCCGCTCTCTCTGTCTCTCTCTCTCTCCCTCTCAAATAAATAAATAAAATCTTTTTAAATTTTTCACTTTTTAAGAGCCATTATATTGCTGAATCATTAAAAATTTAGTCTTTAGTAGTAGTATCACGTGTGCTGATTAACCTTCTAGGACTCCAGTCAACATGGCTGTGAACATAACTACAAACAACTCTTGTCCCAGCTCTGATGGTTGCTCTTCCAGGCATTTTGTTGACTAGTATTGGAGATGTTGGGAAGCGCTGTCCATTCCTACACCAGGGATCCATGAGCTCTGGTTGCCTGTCATATGCATGACCAGTTTGCTCGTTCACCTACTGGTGCGTGGGTTTGACCCTTACTCAGTTGACTGAAGGGGGAGGGCAAAAACATTCCTAATTAATGTGATCTGTTTCCCTTTTCCAGCCATGCGATGATGGACCTACTGGTTGAGCTCTGTCTCCAGAACCACCTGAACCCATCCCACCACGCCCTCGAGATCCGGTCTTCCGAAACCCAACAGCCTTTGAGTTTTAAGCCAAATACTTTAGTTGGGACCCTGAATGTGCACACTGTGTTTCTCAAAGAGAAAGTTCCTGAAGAGAAGGTGAAGCCTGCCCCACCCAAGGTACCTGAGGTCAGTAGGAAGAGGGGGACCCATTGTATCTGAGGGCATATGAGACACCTGTGGCCGAGGAGCTGAGATGGGGGGCTGGTGGAACCCCTCTTATCTGAGTCACATGTGTGTACAGCATACAGCTGTTGAAGTGTCTACTTCCCTGCTAGCCAAAATTAGACTCTAAACTGAGCTTCTTTCAGAAGATGGAAATTAGCCGATTTCAATAATATTCATGGTTGTATCTTTGCTCCTTTGGATATTATAGAAGAGGAATCAGTCTAGAGCAGAGGTAGCCTTTGGAACCTTCTACACAGAAGGAGATGGTTTATCATTCTGAACTTTCCAAAGAGGTCACCCCTGGCCTCATGAGGCTGTTAAGCAGGTACAGTGCAGCTAGTGTGATTGAGAAACTGAGCCTTTAATTGTATCTAATGTTAATTAATTCAACTTTAAATAACCACAGGTAACCAGCCACTACCTTGTTGAACTAGTTACAGCCATTCTCCTTCCATTCTGGAGGTCTTCCTGTCCAAGGAAGCCATGGGGAATGGGGAAGATCTGAACTTCTTCCTAGAGAGAGGAGTAACAGGAGTTGTCCCTTTTGAGAAACTGACGTGGGAAATGTTTCCTCATTGTACTTGGAGCGTATCTTAGATATAGATGTAACTCAGGCTTTTGACTTTTGATTAAAATGAACTCCAGCTCCTGATGGTACTTTTTCATAAGCCTTTGCTGTGGATCTTCGAGCTCCAGTTAAAAGCTTTTAGATTCTTGTGGCGCCTGGGTGTCTCAGTCATTAAGCATCTGCCATCAGCTTGGGTCGTGATCCCAGCGTCCTGGGATCGAGCCCATCAGGCTCCCTGCTTAGCAGGAAGCCTGCTTTCCCTCTCCCACTCCCCCTGCTTGTGTTCCCTCTCTTGCTGTGTCTCTCTCTGTCAAATAAATAAAGAAAATATTTTTTAAAAGATAAATAAAAGCTTTTAGATTCTTGGGAATATTTACTAGATTTTTCTGCTTCTAAAAATGGCAGTTTGGCCAACAGTTCATCTTCTATCAATTTTTACGTTTGGGGGCTTAATAAATTTTAACTGGTGGCATCTCTACTCTGGAATGGGGTATGGATCCACCTCAGTGAGATTCTGTTCAGCCCAGGCTTGCTGTGGCCCCTGTCCAGCATTCTCAGATGATGCCTTGTCAGTAAAGGCCAGGAAAAAGTTGACTGCCTGAAACTTCGGCATACTAATTTTTTTTTGATGGGCCAGTTTATCAGTAGACAGTTGGCATCAGGTTTAGTCAAAATGATTTTTTTTCTGATTATGGTGCCCATCATTATATGGCTATTATATGCATATGTTGTCTGTCTGTTATTTTTTTCTAGCTTAAATATATGTGCGTGTAATATACATATATGTGTATATGCAGACATATATACACTATATATATTTACATAGATATTAATATATTTATGTGAGTCTTTTGGCTGCTTAACTAAAACTTTGATATCTTGTTTTTTTAGGGTTTTTCTTTAGATTGAATCGTTCATGACACTTTGAAACTATCTTCCTTCACAAAATCTATGTGAACACCTTGTGTTCAGGTCTGTTTGGGATCCTGGAAAGGCGGCTTATGTGTTCGATGATAAGCCCAGACCCCTCACAATGTCCGTTCCCCCGTGTTTTTAGCTGTTAGCTCCTCGGTGAGAGATTCTGAGGAAGTGTATTATGCCGGGTGTTTATCCTGCACTTTTCAGTATGGCAGTTCCCCCACAACCCACTGAGTTTTGCACAAAGGGGCTCGGGCTGCACAAAACGTTGCCGTGGTCATTTCGAGCCCACAAGCAGAGGGTGAGGCCATGTGGAAACACACACTTACAGCATTCTTTTGTCCGGGGTGTCCCTCCAGAAATCTGTGCTCTTGGTAGTGAATTACCTGCGAACCCAAAAGGCCGTTGTGCGTGTGAGCCCCGAAGTGCCGCTCCAGAACATTCTGCCCGTCATCTGTGCAAAGTGTGAAGTCAGCCCAGAGCACGTGGTTCTCCTCAGGGACAACATTGCCGGGGAGGAGCTGGAACTTTCCAAGTCCCTCAACGAGCTGGGGATAAAGGAGCTCTACGCGTGGGACAACAAACGAGGTGAGGCCACCTTGCGTCTTTGACACCTGCCCCGTAAGAGCACAGGTGGGAAGCAGACATCACTGCCCATGAGCGCTCGAGGTGCCCAGCAGAGACAACGGGTACCTGAATTTTCAGGCAGCCCAAGTGTTGTCCAAAACACAGTTGAAGTGGGCAGAAAATAAATTTGGTTTGTACCTACTCCCCTCAATTGTAATTATTCCTCTCCCTCCCCCACCATCCTGACCATGTTCTGAGCATCACCCTGTCTCCTGTGAGTTCGGTGGGGTAAGTGAAGGAGCAGGTGTAGCATGTGAACCATCTTCTCTTGGATTTCTTATTCAGTTGCCAGGAACTGCCCCCAAGTCTCAGACATTGCTCGTCATCAAAACCAGTAGCCAAGGAGTCCCTGGGTGGTTTGGTCGGTTAAGCGTCTGCCTGCGGCTCAGGTCACAATCTCAGGGTCCTGGGATTGAGTCCTGGGTCAGGCTCCCTAGTCAGCGGGGAGTCTGCTTGTCCTTCTCCTTCTCCCCCTGCTCATGCTCTCTCTCTCTCTCTCTCAAATAAATAAATAAAATACTTATTTAAAAAAACAAAACAAAACAACACCACACACACACACACACACACACACACACACACACAAAACAGTGACAAAACACATTTAGCTCTTTCTCTAAAACTGCCCGAATTAGAGATCAGGAGATCAGTCCCTGAACACAGCTTATGATGCTGTTTTGGGCTTCCTCACCACTGATGCCAGAGACTACTGACTTCTCGTGTGAACTTGGTACTTGACCTGAGGGCCCAGAGCCACTGGGGCGAGTGGCCACTCAAGAGGCCAGGTGTTGGCACAGAGACTGGTATGTGTGTGAGCAGAGATCCTTGATTGACCCAAAGGGCGGACCATTTGGAAACAGCTGTCAGACTGAACTAAATAAATGAACGAGTAGACAAAAAAATAAATGAATATTCCTTGACCTAAGCATCATTAAAGTGAACTTCATAAATGTGCCTTGTTTTCACGAGGCTCATTTGATATCTGTGGTCTTTTATTTATTCCACAAATACAGAATAGTTTGGGTTGTTGAAATATATTCCATTTTTTCATGTTTTTCTATAGTTCGTTTCAAATTCATCCAAGAAAATCTCTTATTACCAGTTTTTTTTTAAGATTTTATTTATTTACTGCAGAGAGAGAGGGCATGTGCGTGAGCAGGGGAGAACAGCAGAGGGAGAGGGAGAAGCAGGCTCCCCGCTGAGCATGTAGATCCTTAACGAGCTGAGCCATCCAGGAGCCCCACTTATTACCAATTTTGTTGCAAAAATCAATGATTGTCGTTGAGCCTCCTCTCCTTCCCCCAGTCCTCTAGAGGTTCTGGACCCCCGTCTCATTTCAAAAAAAGTGCTCTGATATTTGAGAGCAATGCATCTTGTGCCTTATGTGGCATCTTTTTTAAACTCAGACAAGATTATTCCCAGCATCTGCTACACGGGCCTGGATATAGCTAGTATATCTGCCTGGTTCTATCAGCCCTCTATAAATGTGGTTTCTGTGCCTCTTTAGACACACAGACTTCATTTAGCAAGAGGGAGGGAGGGGGGAAGGAAGGAAGGAGAAGAAAGAGGGAAGAAGAGAGAGAGGAAGGAAGGAAGGGAGGAAGGAAAGAGAGAGAAAGAGGTAAGAAAGAGAAAGGAAGAATAAGAAAAAGGAAGGAAGGAAGGGGAAAAAAGAAAAGAAAGGGGAAGGGAGGGAGGGAGGGAAAAACTATCCTACACAAGTCTGTGAAAGAAAAAAGCCTTACAAACAACTATTTCTGTCACAGGTCAATTCTCAGATATATCTCAAAATGTAGATGTGAAACCTGTTCCCTGGGGAAAGTCCTATAAAATCTGGCGCCCCAAGCAGCATGGATCCCAGGAAGCTCGTGGTGGTCCAGAACACAGAGCAGAGGTGTTCAGGGAGGGGACCTCTGTCGGGCTGGGGCTCCGTCTTTCCACCCCCACACAGGGAAGGACACACAGGTGCAGCCAGCCTGGCTGTCAGATTTGGAAGCACCTGAGCCCTGAGTGCCTGTCACTGCCTTGGGTGCCCTCTGAGGGACCCTTCTGTCTGGGACCCCAGTACCCTCCCCGGAAAAGAAAGGCACAACAGCCAGCATGGTAGGTGACCGGCTCCAGCCCAGCGGCCAGCAGCCCTTTCCTCTGGACTGAACTGGGCCACGTGCCATGCCAGCCATGAAGCCTTTGATTCTCATCACTGCCAAATGCCTTTATCCCTACTGGCAGTCAAGTATTTGAGAAGAAAGGAGAACAGTCCGGAAGATGCCTATAGGGAGCCCTGTCCTTGTGGCCCCTATTGGATTACAGCCTCTCTGCAGCCAGCAGCTGCTTCCAGGGACAAGGGCCAGGGGAGATGTGTCACCAGGCAGGGTCCCGCCTCCTCCGGAAGTCCTGGTGGTGGCAGCTTGGAACAGCAGAAGGCTTTGCTGCCACCTGCTTCCACAGGAGAGCTTAGCAGCCTGGCATCTGCAGGCTCCAGGGAGAACCAGGGCCAGGACCCTTGGCCTCTCCTGTGGGGGCCCAGACAGCCCCCTTGTGAGGCTCGCTGAGGGACCATGGCCATGGTCACTTGCTGCTGCCCTCGGAAGCTGTGCTCACTCTCTCATTGCCTGCTTCTTCCAGTTCTTCTGACCAAAACTCAGTCGGAGCCCTCCCTGAGCTCTCAAGGTACAGTGAGCCCGTTCCGGCCTGCCTGGGCTTTGCATGGCTCTGGGCTAGGACGATGCATGGAAGTGACGCTCGCGTGCAGGGTCTGAGGAGCGCGCTGTGCTGTGCAGCCCTTCTAGGGGCATCTCGTCAGCTGACGTGAGGCTTTGGTTTGGTTTCTTGACTCCTGGTTGCCTGAGAGAATGTCCCTCGTGTGAGAATTTGCGGTGTAGATGAAGGCGGCTGGGGTAGAAAATGGGTCCCTTTGGAACACGGAATTTTAGGGCGCAGTGGAAGTGGCACATGCCACAGACACACAGTTTTCCCTTCTACCTGTGCTCACCTGTGCTCACCTGCCATTGGCGTCCATTCTGTCTGCTGCAGACTTTGGGGCAGTCTAGACTGAAATGCAATCTTTTCGGCCATAGACAAGTATACATATGGTCAGCCCAGCTTTTGCATTTACTCTGACACTTACTTATCATACTCTTGACAGGCAAACACAAATACACACATTTACATACACACGCACACATGCATAGATATATATAGTCACACGTATTATATAGTGGGATTCCTCTGACCTTCTTGGACTGCACGTGTGCACACACACACTGTCTCCAGAAAGTTCATTAAAATCCCGATCAGTATTTGTCTCTTACATAAAAGAGATGAACGGCACAAAAGTGGGCATTGGTCTGCAACCACAGTCCGTGCGTGTTGCGTCTGACCATAGCTCTCGTCTGTTACGGACCCCATCGCACCGTCTAGATGAATGTTGCAAACAGAAGGATTCCCTTTTAAGAAGCACCATGAGTGGTAGTTGTTTTGAGCAGGGAAGTCATGTACGTGAAGCCTTCTTCGGTATGGACTGGTTTGACTTGGGGCCGTGGGCAGACAGCAGCAGAGACTGCCGGTCGAGACCCCTGTGGCCCGCGGCCCATGTTGGGGACCGGAACTCGGAGGTTTCCCTGTTGAAGGATGCCCATGCCGGCCTGGGTCTCCTCTGGCCTTGACTTGCTTGTGAGCATGCTCTGGCCACTCAACAGCTCTGACCTTTCATTTTCTCCTCTGCGAAGGTGAGGGGTTTGGACTCGCTAGTATTCAGGACCCTGCACACCTTGCCTCCCCCTGCACTATTCAGTTCATCCTTATTGTTCTGCAGATCACGTCTATACTTCAAGAGTAGGTCCCTTTTAGAGATGGAGCATGTTGTCCCCTACACTTTGGTTGCTATGTAACTTCGAGCACATGGGAGTAAACTGAAGGAAATAGTTTTTGCGCTCAGATTGTGTGTCTGGAGCCCCAGGTTCTAGGCTGGGTGTGTGTCCTCCCAGCCTGGCCGTGTATCCATGAAGAGTTACCGGCCTGACGTGTGGCCTGCACCTGCCGCCCCTTTGTCTGATGGAAACACCAGGGACCATCAAGTGCTCTTGCTCTGCCCGCACACCAGCCCTTCTGCATGTCTGTGGGGGTCCCGGAGGCCTCACAGAAGGCCCCCATCAGTACACAATCTCCAGTCCCTCGCCCTTGCCCCTCAGACCATCTGCCTGGGGCCCCTGCTTCCTCCAGAGAGAAACGCCTGCAGAACACCTGTCGGGCCACCACAGGGAGGCTCTGGCACCAGGGCTGTCCCTGAGCACCCAATCCCGTGGGCTAGTGACCAGCCTCTGTCCCTGTTTAGGGAGAGAAGAAGAGAGGTTCAATTCTGTGACAGTTTTCTGATCAGTCTGTCGTTTCTGTGGTCAGTGTCATTGCCTAGGTGCCAATAACACGTCTCTCTCTCATTCACCCACTGGGCGCTATGATGTCACATGTTTTACTATATCCGTGCCACCTGTTACTCAATTCTAGAAACAGGATCAGCTATGAATACACATATTAGCACTTGCTGTTGTTTCCCTACATGTAGTTTGACTCTGTGGCATAGTCTCTATTACTTTTCACAGCTCTGTGCCTCGTGTGGAGGGTTTCAGTGGGATCAGCTGTGAGATCTGTGTGCATACGTGGATGTGTGTGCACACGTGCCTCATGATTGGAGCTGCCCCACTCACTGGTTTGGATGCTGTGTGGTGTGGAAGGCCCAGTAGCCCAGGTGGGGCCGCCTGCACGTAACCAAGAGCCTTGGCTGTCTAAGATCTGAGCCTTTGCCACTCACACAGTGATTTAAGGAATAGAGGTGTTTGGGGTTTACTGTGTTGGGTAGATGCGTGTTAATGCATTTGTTACTAACATACTGACTTCCGTGTGTGTTCTCTAACTGGAGTATGAAATTCTAGGCCAGCAGATAAGGAAGTTACCTGACATGTATGCCTTGTTTGGGTTGCTGTTTGGACAGCAGACGTGTACAATCCCAGTCCAGACTTTTCCACCTGTGCATTGACAAGTTGACTCTCCAGCGGTTGGCAGTGGACTGGGGAAATTCATTTTTTTATCCCTTAGGAACACCTAAATGTTTCCCCTCTTGCCATCTCTGTGTGCCTTGGAAGAGAAGCCCTGGATGAGTTCATGACAAAGGCCTGGAGTGGCCTTTGGAGTGTCAGCAAGCCAGTGAATTATGGCAACCAGAGATGGCGGGGCGCCCTGGATCCCAGGCTAGTTACCCCCTCTGCACAGGAGGAAACAGGCTTGGGGTGGCAAAGCAGTCTGAACAAGTCAGGGCCCTAACCTCTGCTCTGCCAGTTCTCAAGGGAGCCCCTAGGCTGCGTTCACACGCAGGGTGGTGTTGGCCGGGGGGAGACTGGTGAACACAGGGTGCTGGGCCCCCCTCAGAGTCAGAGATCTGGAGTGGGCCCAGGTTCTCAGTGATATGGATGTGGCAGGCCCCTCCGCACCCTTGGCAATGTTGTCAGCTGCCCGACGAGTTTGGGCTTCAGTGTCTCCATCCAGAACACGGTGGGGCTCATTCCAGCTCTTAACTTCTGTTAAGGAAGAGAGATGAAAGAAGACTTAGGGTTCAAGAATAACAAAACAACAGAAGAAAGAAAAACAGGCCCTAGAGAATGTGATCAAGAAGGACAGCATTCTGGTTGAGGTCAAGAACGCGAATCTAGAAGCGTGAGTCCTGGATTCCTGTGATGCATGGGATTATTTTGACACCGCCTGGGTTAACCACCACTGCCGTTCCATAGTCTGGACATGAGTGGGGCTCTTCAGCAGAAAGCTGCTGATTTATTTTAGTTAGTGTTTTCACCTCAGACTCACAATTCTTAAAGCAGGTGTTTTACACAGACCTCCTGGTCCTTGGGGCTGTGCTGTCGGCCCAAGAGTCACGAGCCACGTGTGGCTCGTGGGCACCTGGAGTGTGGCCAGTCCAAACCCAGTTGTGCTGTGTGACCTGCGCACTGCATTTCGAAGACTCCATACCAAAATGAATTTAAAACATCTCATTCATCATTTTTCTACGGATTGTGTGATGGAATGATAATGTTTTGGTTATGTTGGATTACACAGAACACATCGCTAAAATTGCACCTGCTGGAGAATGTACAATTCCATGTGTGGTTCATTTTATTTTTTCTACCGGATGGTCCTACCCTAGAACTTTTTGATTTCTTGGGTTTTTTCATTCACATTCAGGGTTCAATCCCACCCCGAGAAAAACGCCACCCAACTCACTGAAGATTGTAAGAACCTTCAGCGAGTTCACAGAGGGGACTGGAGGCTTTGAGGTGGCTCGGAATGCTTTGACAGACATGGTTGCCGTTTTACCGTCTTGGAAAATCTGGAAGTTTAATAGTGGAGGGTTCGTTTGTTGAGATTCTGTTTAATCTCGTTTCATGCGCAGACAATAACAGTCTTTTTTTCTTCTTCCCCAGAAACTTTTAGAAAATCCTCACTTGGCCATGATGAGACAGATAAAGAGAAGAAAAAAATTCTGGGATTTTTCAAGGTTAATAAAAGAAGCAGTAGTAAGGTAATGGACTAAAATACACGTAGGATTCTGCGTTTCGGAAAAATAGTTGCTTGGGATGTCTGTATTCACCCTACCTTGGAATCTTTCTAAATACTGTTAGGACTGTTCATTTCTCTGGGGGAAAGGGAGCTTATCCACAGGCACTGAAGCGGCTGACCTGTTTCCACCCTTGATTCCTAAAGCCAGTGGGGGGCAGTGCTGTGCTTGCCTGTAGGGTACCAAGCTCTGAGCGCCGCTGGGCCAGCGCATGCGCAGTGTCTGGTGTAACGCTGCGGCTCGCTTCCTGCACATGCGCCGTGCCGGATGTGAAGCTGTGGCTTCCCGGCAGCTCAGGTGTGAAGCTGGGGGCTCAGTGGCCAGCGCATGCGCAGTACCTGGTGTGAAGCTGCGGCTCAGGAGACCCCCTGTGGACGGATGAATGAGTGAGTCCGTATGCCTACAAGTGAAATATCTTTAGAACCTGTTTAACATGCAGGGCCTCTCAGCGCTGCCCTGGGGCCTCTTCGTGGAGAAGGGCATCCGTCGTTGAACTGTCCTTTGCTGGTAAATTTTCGGTGGCCTTTGGTCTTCCAGGATGGTTTGGAATATGTTGCGTGATAAGTTAGTTTTATTGCTCTTGTTGGTTTTATGTAGTAAATCGTAAAATCGTACTTTGGATGCCGTGTTGTAGAGCGGGGTCACGGTGCAGAAGCCGAGACTGGAGATTTTTGCACTCAGCTTCTGCAATCCCCAAAACCGTAAATGCCTTCTCACAAGCAAGAGAAGAGGTTGCTCCTTGCCCCTATTGTATCTGTCTAAAGGGTGTATTTTGCTAGTATCTGGTAGTTTCTCCTTACTAATAAGTGGGAGTAAAAAAGACGAAACCGGTCAAGCAGATGCTGGGCTCTGATACCGTCAGCTCAGTGTGGAAGCGTCCACCTGGGTACAGGTGAAAGAAGGGTGGGAGGGCAGCCTGGCACTGGCTGGGAGGCCCCCTGCTTGCGCACCAGGCCGCGCATCTCCTTTCCCCACCTCCCTGAGGCTGAGGGGTGGGAGGGTTCACACCCCTCTGCTGATAGGAGCAGTGAATGCAAAGAAACGCTGTGCTTAGGGTCCCGGCTTAGGTCCGGATGGGTCAGACTGCAACACTGGTCCTCCCACCCGGGGCCAGAGCCCTAGGGGTGAAAGCCAAGGTCCCCATGTGGCTCAGGAGCTTGAACTACCCCTTGGCAGTTCCCCACACACAGTGCCACAGTGCGGCACATTTTCTCTTCGCCTGTCCTGAACTTTTGATGTTGGTTTTGTGAATCTCTTTTTTGTTGTTACTGGTTATTATATTTCTACTTGTCCTTTGAAAATCTGTGCTCAGCGTGTTTCTCTGTAGATCCTTTGCACTTTCCTTCTCCCCATCTTGCATTCCCTCCCAGCTCCTCCTCTCCCCTCAACTTTCTCTCCTCTCCCTTACTGTTCCCGTCCCCCTTTTTTTTTCCCACCCTTGCTTCCCTGTCCCTTCCCTCCTTTCCCTTATCTCTGGTCACGTTTACTTTGAAATTACAGATTCAAACATTTGCATCTGAATTTCCCTTTATTCTATCAAGGTTGGGTTTCTTAGTTCCTGGAATTTGGGAGGTTAAGTTTGCCAGGAATACTTCCCCACTGTCCTCCTTCATCCTGATGACCCCAGTTCACAGTAAAACCTACCATTTCCTCACACTGAGATCTCAAGAGTCCTCTTGTGTCTTCCTCTTTTTGAGAGCTTAAACTGCCAGAAAGAAAAAAAAAAATTGAGAAATGCTTTTGTTTTAAGCAGAATAAGAATGCCTAAGGTGTGGGAGATAAGAGACAGTCCAGCTTCTGAGGGTTTGTCAGAAGACACCACCCCAGGAGGACCCTGAGACAATGCCACAGGTGCAGGGACTCCTGTCTTGCCATCTTGGCTCCCACTCGGCAGGCCGGGATTATTTTTCCTTTCTAATATACCTCCTCTCTTCCTTTCTTACTTTATGTCGCTCTAAAACTCTCTTACGCAGTTGTATCCTTGCTGGATTCTTTGTTGTTTGGGGCATCAACTTCTTCCTTGTTTCTCTTTTCTTCATGGTTTGAGATGCGCTAAATGCAACTTCATTTAATCTAGAAGCCTGGTGAGAGACGTACTACTCACCTTACTTCACAGGTGCAGGAAAGAAGGCTGTGTACCTCTGAGCTGACCCTCGGTCCAGTGACTGAGTTCCAATCAGCCTGTCTTTCTAGAGCCCTGGCTTTCCTCACTCATTCACACTGTACGTGTTTGAAAGGTCCAGAATTCCACTCTTTTGCACTAACAGTAAGAGGGTTTGGAGGTAATCATTATTTACATGTTTTCTAAAATCTTATGATGCCAAATAGTCCACAAGTGTCTCACGAGGACAGAACAATAAGGATGAAGAATTATCAAGGCAATTAAAGCTAAGGAGGTCTTTACAATATCTTCTTAAAACAAAACAAAACATAAAAATGTGTGTGTGTAAAATCTCAATAGAGGATATATTTGAGGGATATCATTTTGGCTGAAGTAGATGAGGGCCCATATCTTTATGTTTTAAAAGTTCACTATTTTATTATTTTCAGAACATGATAATTTTGTATAATTTTGACATTACTTATTCCCCAACCCAGAGGTTCTGAAAAAGTACCTAAGAATCACCCTAAGACCCAGCCTAACAATGGGTCTAGCATTTTGGGGTCAAATGCTATAGCTGGTAGCCAGCACGCTGTCACACAAAATGTCCTCTTGAAAAATCAAGCGAGATGTCATTATTGTTTATCTTTTATGGACAGATAGGGGGACATTTGGTGAATTATTTCTATATATATAATTATTTGGTGAATTATTTCTGTATAAACAGTGCAGCAGTAAACCGAATTTAAAGCTCAAAAATCCCCCCCAAACTAGTTAATTCATTGGTTTTGTGAGCAAATCCCATCAGCTCACACTCATGAAACTACTGTTTTCATATTACATATTTTCTAAGCTAAATATATGCTCTTGGGAAGAAGCAAAAGGAGCACCCCTCCCTTGAGTCATGAATTTCAAAACTGGTTTTGGGATCAGTGAGCACTTTGGTTCCGGGCTTTGGGGTTTCTGTGCTGAGGGGCGTGGCCATGGATTACAGACCACTCAGGTCAGAGCCTGCTGCCTTGAAGACCACACTGGTTTTGTGCTGTCAGAATCGCCAAGGATGACTTTTTTGCCTGGGCATACATTGACCTGGAGATGACGTGCTGTGTGTCTGTGTTCCAGGCCGAGCGGATCGGGCGTTCCGGGGTGGACAGTGATGAGGACACCTCACAGTCTGCTTTGGGAAGGGGCTCAAACGTGAGTACTAAACCCAAAGTTGCTTCTTGCCAACCAGGTGGGCTTCTCACCACTTCACAGGACCTTCTAGAAAATGGGACTGTAGATTAGTTAAGTTGTTTGGGTTCTGTACGTTCATTCCAGAGGCACGACGTTGTGTATGGCTTCTCGTTTACCTGCCCATGCTACATTTGGAAGCTGTGTGGTGTTTTAGTTCCTACTTCTCCATACTGTCAACATGATCAGGAGGATCCTTGGTTAGATTAACTGAGTTTGTGCCCTCTGGAATCTCTTCCATACGTTCAGGAGCAGCTGATGGGTTCCGGATCACATGGCCCTCTTTCCTATCCTGAAATCTACCAGTTCCTAAACTCTGCAACTCCACTTCAAATTTTTTTTTTTTTTTTTTGATAGAGAGAGTGGGTCTATGAGCAGCAGGGAAGGGGTGGAGGGAGAGGGAGAGAGATCTTTAGCAGGCTCCATACCCAGTGCAGTTCCCAGCATGGGACTTGATCTCATGACCCTGAGCCAAAATCAAGAGTCAGACGCTTGACTGACTGAGCCACCCAGGCACCCTTGAGTTGTATAATCTTAAGGAAGTCTTCACCTGCCATGACCACATCAGCAATGACATTTGCTTTGCTATTAAACAGATTTAAACAACTGAGAACAGTTTGAAATGTCCATTGATGTGTCAATCTGCAGTTGTAGTCTCGATTTTGGCTACAACCTATTGGAAAATGTCTTCTAATATTCCATGTACTCTATAAGCTACATTTGTGTTTGAGTGGGAATTTATTTAATTACATTGGACGGCTTGGTTACTCACACCTATTTGCTTATTTCAGTGCACTAGGTATTATAACTTTTCCAACAGCAAAGAATGGCAGCATAAATTTTGTGGTGGGCATTGCTTATTTGTGTGATTCTTTTCTCTAAGTGCAACACAGGGAAATACATTCATGACATAAATAAATAGGTAGAGCTCAGATAAAAACCTCATGGGAAATATCCAAAGCATTTTTAAGGAAAATTATAAAATACCACAAAGACACACAAAAGTAGAATTGTACACATGGAAGACACGCCACATTCTTAGATGTGAAGATTCAACATTATTATGTTGATTGGGTTTAGTTGTAGAGCTAAAAAAAAGAGTTACAAGGTTTAGTTGGAAAAATAAGCAACTAATAACTAGCTAGGAAAACTCTGAAAGACCAGGGTGATGGATAAGCCTGGGTAGTTTTAAAATAGCTTCTAATGCCTCTGTAATTCAGACTGTGTTATACTGACCACAAAGAAATGAGTGAAACCCAATAGAAACTCCAGAGCCAACTGAAGACAGAAATTGATATACTATATAGGCAACATGTCAAATCAGTGGGGAGAAATAAACTTATTTATACAGAGATTTGAGATCATTGAGGAGCCCAAAGAGAAGGATAAAATCATATACATTTTCACTGTAAATACTAAGATAAAAAGCAAACAGAAATGTAGATGTAAAAATTGAAACCATGTAAGTACTAGCAGAAAAATTGTGAGGAGGGAACACTTTCCAAAAATGCTGGTTAACTTGAGGAGAACACAGACAGCAACCTCTTCGACCTCAGCTGCAGCAACTTCTTTCTAGAAACATCACCAAAGGCAAGGGAAGCAAGGGCAAAAATGAACTATTGGGACTTCATCAAGATCAAAAGCTGAAAAGCAAAGGAAACAGTCAACAAAACCAAAAGACAACTGACAGAATGGGAGAAGATACTCACAAGACCTATCAGATAAAGACCTGGTATGCAAAATCTATAAAGAATTTATCAAACCCAACACCCAAAGAACAAGTAATCCAATCAAGAAATGGGCAGAGGACATGAACAGACATTTCCGCAAAGAAGACATCCAATGGCCAACAGACACATGAAAAAGTGCTCCACATCACTCACATCAGGGAAATACAAATCAAAACCACAATGAGATACCACCTCACACCAGTCAGAATAGCTAAAATTAACAAGTCAGAAAATGACAGATGTTGGCGAGGATGTAGAGAAAAGGGAACCCTCCTACACTGTTGGTGGGAATGCAAGCTGGTGCAACCACTCTGGAAAACAGCATGGAGGTTCCTCAAAACATTGAAAATAGAGCCACCCTATGACCAGCAATTGTACTACTGGGTATTTATCCTAAAGATACAAATGTGACCCGAAAGGGCACATGCACCCGAAAGTTTATAGCAGCAATGCCCAAAATAGCCAAACTATGGAAAGAACCTAGATGTCCATCAACAGATGAATGGATAAAGAAGATGTGGGATATATATAGACAATAGAATGGTATGCAGCCATCAAGAGAAATGAAATCTCGCCATTTGCAATGACATGGATGGAACTAGAGGGTATTATGCTAAGCAAAATAAGTCAATCAGAGAAAGATAATTATCATATGATCTCCCTGATATAAGGAATTTGAGAGGCAGAGTGGGGAATTTGGGGGGGTAGGGAAGGAAAAATGAAACAAGATGGGATCGGGAGGGAGACAAACCATAAGAGAATCTTATCTTATAAAACAGACTGAGGGTTGCTTGGGGGTGGCGGGGGCAGTAGAGAGGCTTGTTGGGTGATGGACATTGGGGAGGGTATGTGCTATGGTGAGTGCTGTGAAGTGTGTAAGCCTGACGATTCACAGACCTGTACCCCTGACAGGGGACAAAAAAATATATGTTAATTAAAATAATTAATAAAAAATGCTGGTTACTTTAACTTCAAGGGAAAAAAATTTGAGTCAAAAACGAGAGAAGGAAGAGAGAATATTATCAGCAAAGTAAAAATCTAAATGACAAATGTTGGGGAGTGGGGATTGGAATTAGAAAAACAATGACAGCCTTATGTACGTGAGATCACAGGATGTTTGTCTTTCTCCATCTGACTTACCTCACTTAGGGTGATTCCCTCTAGCTCCGTCTGTGGATGGCACATCATTGCAAATGGCAAGAATTTCATTCTTTTGATGGCTGAGTAATATTCCATTGTGTATATGTTGCACATCTTTTCTGTCCATTCAGTTCTATATGGAATCTAAAAAAAAAAAAAAACAAACAAAAGACAAACAGAGGGGCGCCTGGGTGGCTCAGTGGGTTAAGCCTCTGTCTTCAGCTCAGGTCATGATCCCAGGGTCATGGGATCAAGCCCCACATCAGGGGTCTCTGCTCAACAGAGAGCCTTCTTCCCTCTCTCTCTTTGCCTGCCTCTCTGCCTACTTGTGCGCTCTCCCTGTCAAATAAATAAATAAAATCTTAAAAAAAAAAAAGACAAACAGAAACAGACTCAAATATAGTGAGCAAACTGGTGGTTGTTGGAGGGGAGGGAGAGGGGGATGGGCAAAGGAGATGAAGGGGAATTAAGATGCACGAGCTTCCAGTCATAGCGTGGGAAAGTGCAACATAGGGAACGCAGTCAATAATATTGTAATACCATTGTGTAATGTGACGTTACACCTGTCATGGTGAGCACTGAATAATGTACGGACTTGTCACTTCGCTGGGTTGTATGCCTGACACTAATACAGCACTGTGTCTACTCTGCTTCAATTTAAAACAAGAAAAGTGGGGGCACCTGGGTGGCTCAGTTGGTTAGGTGCCCATCTTTGGCTCAGGTCATGATCCCAGAGTCCCAGGATGGAGCCCCACATCTGACTCCCTATTCGGCGGAAAGTGTGCTTCTCCCACTGCCCTTCACCCCACTCTCACTCTCTCTCTCTCTCTCTCTCTCTCTCTCTGTGTCTTTCTCTCAAATAAATAAAATCTTTAAAATAAAATAAAATAAAGATGACATCCTGACCAAGATAGATACGAATAGAAAGTTCACAGAAAAAGAAATGTAAGTGGTACATAAATAAACGAAAAAGTGCTCAGATGCACTCATAATGAGAAGTAGAAATTAAACCTCCAGAGAACTTCCCCTTGGCACTTATTCTGCGGTCTGTCCGTTTGTGCGATGCAAAGCTGTAAAAGAAGGACGAGCGTGATACACTGATACGGAGTGTCTTCTGGGATTTTTTTTCATCTTTCTAAATGAAGGGGGACTTTTACTGAAACCGAAGTTAATGAATGAAGCTGCAATGTGGTAGATTCATTATTGGCCTCCAAAGAAGAGTTTACAGGGCTTGAAGCCATAGGGCAGGGCAGCCCTTAATAAAATCATGGTGCTAGCCTGTGATGGGCCTGTGCTTAGTTCTGTGCTCTCGCTTCATCCTCCTCACACGGACGCAAAAGCTGCCCAGCTTCCAGAGACCGAGTAATTGACCAAATCTGGACTGCAGCTTCTGTTTGCTGAAGGACTTTATGTTCGTGATCCTGTTTCTTTTTTTAAAAGATTTTATTTATCTAAGAGAGAGCAACAGAGAGAATGCACATGATTGCGGGGGGAGAGGCAGAGGGAGACACAGACTCCCCACTGAACAGGGAGCCCTGCCTGAGGCTCAATCCCAAGAGCCCCTGAGATCACGACCTGAGCCAAAGGCAGACACTTCTCTGATGGAGCCACCCACACGCCCCTCATGCTCAAATGTCTTTATGTCCATTATGTCTTAACTTATGTTTGATATTTTGCTCGCGTCTACCAAGCATGGAATCTTGGTGATGGAACTTTCCTTATGAACAGTCTGCTCTTGTTTTTATAAATTTTGCTCACCCCACTGACTTTAGGTGAAAGAGCAAGGCTTTCAATCTCACACAGCAAGGGGACCTCTCTGTCTCCACTTTCCCCATCTGTATAGTGGGTACAGCCCTGCCCACTCTGTAGGATCAGCAGTCACAGAACTCACCTAATGCTCTGGGAAGCTTTCTGAAATGTCAGTAAGCTCGTTCAGAGCTTTACTAGAAAGTCTATAGGAACTATTGTATATTTTCCCTTAAAATGTGAGCAGTTCATTGTAGGAGTCTGAAGAGAGAAAAAAAAGATTCTGAAGAGAATAGATTTACATTAAAATAAAATATCCTGTAAAAAGTAATTTATTTCTTTGAGAGA